GTACAAAGTCTTACCGAACTTAGTGGGCATAGCTCGTAACTCAAACAGTAGTTGCTTCAGGTGCTATGTATATTACTGTATGCAAGTTCGATTCTCTCGTGCTATAAACCTGTAGCTACAGCAGTCATTTCCTTGCCTTAAAGCATTGATTTCCAAAGGTCAGTGTTCACTCCCAGAAGTCATGGATCAGCATGCTGCCAGTCAGGAACTGATCCCATGTAGTTGCATGGAGGTTATGAGTCTAGATTTTCACTACAGTTTTGCAGGTAAATTTATTTAGTTGTGGCTTACCAAGTTTTGATGTTGATCATATCACGCTTTCGGGAACAGCTACTCTAAATGTTACTTTTCTAAACTAGCCACTATCTTGGGCTTTTTACAAAATGTGAAAATAATATTTTACTGCTTTGTATCTGAAGTTATGTGTTAAGGTTGTATGAAATGATAAATGACTTTGAGAAAGGAAAATACTACTATTGTGACAAGCTTGAATATAATTTGAATGAATTTAAAATCTAGTATTTACAGCGTTTTTGAATACTCCCATTTTTTAAGTTATAAAAATGATGTGCAGTATATGAAGCATATATGAATAGTTGGACTGTGTCTGGACAAATCCAGTTTTAATGACTCTGCAGGTTGTAGACCCTGCATGTGTTGCGTGATACTGTGAATTGTGTAGCATAGTGATGAAAAATGCGGGCTGGTAAGGAGTGCTGGAGGTTATCTGGCCCTGCCTCCTGCTTCAAGCAGAACTGGTTTCATAGTTAGGACAGGTTGGTCAGGGCCATTTGAGTTTTGAAAATTTCCAAAGAGGGTGATTCCACCCTCTTGCTTGAGCATATTCTTGTTTGTGAACTTCTTTTTTCCTTATATCTGGTCAAGATTTTCTGGATTGCATGTTTTGGCCTTTGCCTCATGTCTATCTGCGCATTGATGAGAAGAGGCTGATTCTCCTCATTGTAGTACCCACAGGTAGTGCCTCGGTTAGCCTTCTGCTGTCCAGGCTGAAGAAGTGTAGTTCCCTCAGACTTTCTTAGTGTCATGTGCCTGCAGGGGTTTTATTGGCACTCTGCTGGACTCTTTCCAAGTTTTTCTGTATTTCTTTTATGGGGGGTTGGGGGGTGGGTGGGTGTGGCAAAACTGGACCCAGTATTTCAGATGGGAGCTCACAAGTGCTGAGTAGAGGGGAATAATCACTTCCATCCGCCTGCTGCCTGCACTGAAGCTAATGTGAGAGTGGTGTACATGGTATGGCTACAGTCCGACAATTGCTTTAAGCTGGCCGAAGTACTGCTGCCTTCCTCCATACTTAACTACCCAGCTCCCTCATTCCCATTCCCTGTCTTATACTGACACTAGCACTCTTGTAGCCCCATGGCAAGCTAGAACAAAATCAAGAAGCTAATCCAAGTTGAAGCAGATCAATGTATTCTGTCAGATCAATTTTCTGTTCCAGGTGACTGTTCAAAGCCTTGAGCTGACTCAGCAAGGAGGAGGAGAGGAGCGCAGGACTGCTCTTTTCCTCTTTTGTTGGTCTTTGCTCTGTAGTAGATGAGGGTGTTGAAAAGGAGGCAGAGGCTTTATGGCCAAGTAATAACAGTCCCGCAGAGGATTGGCTGGCATAGCTGGGATTTGCTTGTCAGTTTTATTACTTTCACCTGTTTTTATATTCTGTTTGGGAGCATGTGATAAAGGGCACTCTGGTTATTTCCCAAAAGGGATAGGCAGTGCTGCTTACCCGAGTACATGTCACCCAAGTTGAAGTGAATACTGGGTTCGCCAGTGTAGTAGCAGGGATATGAAAGAGAACAGTAGAGGCTTTGCTAATAACAAGTTACAGGGAATATCTGGGCTAGGTTGTGACTAATTAGTAAGGATTGCCCTTTGTAAATCAGTTGGATACACCTGCAGGGCTGCGTTTGGCCTACTTATGATAAACAGATTTTTTTTGTGGTTTGTTTTATTTTTTTTTTTTAAAGAAGACACTGTAGAACAGTATTGATCATAACTAGATATTTGTTAGGCTACATTGTAACAGCTCTCCACCAGGTTGTGTGAATCTTCCCAGTGTGTATTTTCCCCCAACTGTCTCTTGCGTGGGCTCTTGTCAGGGCCCTGGGTACACTGATGGGCAGCGATGGCCCAGACAAGCCTCACCTGGAGCCTCCACCCACACCCCTTCCCCACGGGCTGAGGCCCCCATCAACTGATCCGAACACAGAAGTGAGTCAATCTTTGAGTCTAGGCCAGTGGTCTCCCGATTGGTTTTGATCACACAGCCCTATTGATAAAAGTGTTTTGAGCATGCACCTCCAATATATGTAAATTTATTTGTAAATTACATGCATGTACTACTGAATTTCTAATATTTTCTTCCTGCACCCTAATGGATTGTCTCACACGCGTCCCACCTTGGAGAGCACTGCTTTAGGCTATGTAACTCTAATCCTTTTATTCCACTCATTGTATTGAGTTTTATTTTCAAACTGTCTCTTGGCTTAATACGGTTTATACCCATTTCATACATGAATTGTTGATTAGGCCTGCTATATGTTACCAAACAGTGAAGAAGACAGAATTTATACAACTTGTGTATAGAAAACCTGAAAAGATAGTCGACAAGAAAAGCAGAAAACTTTTCAACCATTTGTGCTGTAGAAAACGTGTTAGGAAAATTTCACAGGATAGGCTTGCTTTTATTAATGCACTTTTAAATAATCACCTGTGTCAAGGTCATGTGTTGCTAAAGTTGCTGTCTTTTCTAAATAAATGGAATGAGTAGTTGCTTTTGGGTGTGCAGGGACGTGGTCTGATTGTGCACCTCCTCTGTTGCTATCCTAAAGTTAACAGGACACTAATCCTCATTGAAAGTCTGCATCAGTTAAAAAGATTTAAACCTGCAGCTTTGTGATTGTGTAGATCTTGGGCATGTGTGGCAAAATAGGAACAGAATTTCATCTAAGTAGGTAGGTTGGTGGCTTGATTGTGATCTTGTTTGCTCTTTCACAGACCACGTACTTGTATGTGTGTTGGTCCTTTGATATTTCACAAATATCAAGGGAAGAGAGGTCTGGAGATCTCCTCGTCCGCTGTCCTGCTCACAGCAGGCTCAGCCGGAGCAGGCTGCTCAGGGCTGTTCTGTCCAGCTGCGTTCTGGGTATTTCCAAGGATGGAGATTCCATAACCTTGCTGGAAAGCCTGTGCTGGTATTTGACTATACTCAGAGGTTTTTTTTTTAAAAAAAATGTATAAAAAAAATCTAGTTTTGTTTCAGTTTGTGCCCCTTGCCTCTTGATCGTTGTCTGGATACCACTGAGAAGAGTTTGACTCAGTCTTCTTTACACCTTCCCACCGAGTACTTACACACACAGATGATTCCGCCATAGCCTTCTGTTCCCCAGGGGGAACAGTCCTGGTGCCCTCAGCCTCTTGTGTAACAGAGAGCCTGAAGAATGAGTCACATGGATCTGGTCAGGGAGAGTAAGTTTCTATTTGGCAAGAAGTAAGAGAGAGAACAAAATGAATTAGAGCCAAAGCTATATTAACGAATTTGAGTGGTGAGTATGATAGCAGACTTTTTAAGGGAAGATGAGAAAAAACAAGTACAGAATGCATAGTGACCAATTTGATGTGATTAGAAAATACTGTGAAGATGAGATTGGATAACTCAATAGATAACTAAATAGAAGCCAGGGTATCAAGATGCTTAGGAAATGTTAGCATCAGTTGATAATTGAACTGGTGGATTAGATGGGATCTTTACAGAGAGAATAAGGGAAGATAAAGTGGTCCTGAGAGTTACTGACAGGGAAAAGGGAGAAGGTACAGTCTCAGATAACATTCTGAGAGTTACAGTAAACGGGAGAACCAGGATATGCAAACAGAAGCTTTGAAGGAACGGCAGTCGGAGGAAAGAGCGATGGAACGTGTTTGATACAGGCAGTGCCTGACCGAGTAGGCACTGCATAAGAGAGTTGGTGGTCTTGATATTGTGAGGCTACAAATGCGCTGCACCCAATGAATGGATGCTTACATGCAGTTTGGCTAATGCAAATGAATTCCCCACCCATTGTTGAAAGGGTTGTCAGAACTCTATACTATTAATCAAGTACACTTATTAATTAAGTACACTTCTGAGTATTGTTGAGGAGAAACTGGAAGTGGTCATATTGTCACTAGCAATAGCTAAGAAGGGTCTGCTAGAAAATAGTAGTGTTCTTAATGCTTTGTAATGTCTGGGCTATAGTTTTGGTTCTAGCCTATAACAGTACCGTCATGATACTGACCTGATTTTTTTTTTACCTTTTTGGCTGGTCAATATTATAGCCACTAATTTGTAACAGTCTTTGTAGATTCTATCGGGTTTGATTATTCCCTCACTGGGATTAATTGGGAGTAAATTCCTATAGAATTCCATTTTAATTGGAGTCTTGAGATTGTATTCAGTATTGGGTTTTTATTTACTACTAGTTTCAAGTCATAGTAATCAGTTTGGTTGATTGTTTGTCTTTCTCCAATTTAAAAAACTGAAAAAACCCCTGAAATGGTAAAACATTACATGGGATTTTGTATATCATTACATGTGACTAAATTTGATTTTGAGATAAATCAGTGGATCTCTGTAGAAGGTGCAGGTTTATTTAAGAACTTTGCCAATAGTAGACATCTGTCAACTTAATAAATTGTTTGATAAGAAATACTGAGATATTCTAAATTGGTTTTATTTTTGAAAGCAATTGTTTCTGACACGTATCAAATATCCATCTTCTCCCTTTTTATTCTAGTTGTCATGGATGATGACGACGATGAATCCTGTCTCCTTGATCTTATTGGGTAAGTTTTCTGAAAGAATTGCTTAAGGAAAAGTTGGGAAAAATAATTTTGCAAAATCATCTTCTACAAGGTGATTCTATCTCAGTATTGTCTCAAGACTGTCTTATGCGTGAAATGAGTAGCTGTGCTTCACATCCTCCATGTGGAGATGTGTGTATCACAAAGCCTTTAATCCCAGTGTATTCTAGATGACAGTCTGCTTGTTGGCATTCTGCTCAAGAGAGGCTAGGGAATGAGTGTGCATGAGGGTTAGGTTCTCTTCTCTGCTAGTGGTAATATCTGGTCAGTGTTGAAACATGTTACTAGGGATGTTGTTACAAATTTCATTGCAAAGAAATATTTTTTTGGATTAAAAAAGTAAAGATCTCAGTTTTTTGAGTAGTGGAACTACATGTTTTGTTAACACTATGCTTGTATTTTTAAGGTAAAAGTAAAATTCTTTTCTTATAAATACTTAATTTTGACTAATAACGTGCATTTGCATAAAATGTTAGAAAAATAGAATTGCTACCCAGTACTGTTAAGTATTCACAACAAACAAGAATTTTGCTCAAAGACACTTGATTTTAATAGAAATGGGCAATTTTAAATGGTCCTCGTTTGTTGTTCGGTTTTGTGGGTTTTTTGTTTGTGTTGGTGGTTTTTTTTTTACATTATTTCCATAACAGATTGGAGGTTTATAATTCCTTATAGGAATCTCAAAAAATAATTAAGATAGCGAAGCATGAGCAAAATTTTGTGGATTGTATATGTGATAAGTTACTTTCCTTTGGCTAACATTCATGTCGGTATTCAAGAACAAAAAATATGCTATAATGCTTTTGAAACCTAAGAAGACAATTGAACATTTCATATATGATACTTTGTTCAAACTCTGCCAGAAATTAGTGTGACATCAGTCTCGTAGCATCTACTAAGATATAGGCTCTGCTTCATACAAGATTTTTTTACTGTCTTAAATGTAGTAAATAAACCTTTTACCTTTCTCATGCACTCATGCTTCCAGCAAAACCAGTGAGAAGTTTAACTTCAGAAAAAAACAAAATATCACCACAGTGACTGCTGTAATTTGGGGGTTACTGTGTGGATGCTATAGCAAAAGCATTGCCAGTAATGGCTCACAGTTACATTCTGCGAAGTGTACTGTGCAAGATTACTGATTGTGGCCATATGAAAACACATGCTACTTGGAACATAATGATAATTGATTGCATGGGACAATTAAGTGCTCTGTCGTGAGCATGAATCACAAGGATCCTGGTACAAGTTCACAGGTGGTCCAGAAAATGAAGTGTGCTCTATACAGATGAGTGTTTGTGTGAAAAATTACAGTGTTCTTCCTGCTGCTGGCAGTAATTACTGTCTTAAGCATCTAGAAGAATGGAAGACAGCATTTTTTTCCCATCTGATCTTTGATTTTGGTAAGTACCTTCTAAAATTCCTTCCTTACTAAAGACAATATTTAAGGTGATGAAGGGTTCTTCATTTTTAATTGCATTTTTCATGATTTAAAGCCAATAAGTGTAATTAATATTAAACAGACTGGTTATTTTATTGATAAAACTTGTAAGCATGATAGAGTCTTACGAGATCATGAGTTCTAGTCTCCTTAATTCTTGAAATTTAGTGTAATCCTCTATGAAAATGACACTTTCGTTTGAAAATATATGTAACCACTTTTATGTTGTAAGCATAATTGTACCATAGATTCCCTGCCAAGTACTGTCTGTGTAACATGTCTTCTGTAAACAGATGAATGTAGTTTGTTTTTTTAAATGAAAAAAAAAGAGGAATAGAGGTGTATTTGTGCTTTTAGAAGAATAGTTGTAAACCTGAAAGATCTTTAACTTGTTCCCTCTTTATTTTCTAGGATGATCGAGAGAGAAGGAGAAATGTTTTGAATTAATTTTTTTTACATGAGAATCTTCTGCTTCTTGAATGTGTTTTATTATTAATTGTTAATCAATAAAGATGTTTTAAAATTTAAAAAAATACTCCATGTCATTTTACTGTTCATGCTAATGGACATGTTGGGAAATGCTGTGTAATTGTTGTATTAAAATAATCCCATGTAACACAACCTTGTAATGTTTTTTACGTGGTCTGTATGTGCAGTTACATTAATGTATTTTTGATTTGTTTGAATTTCCAACACTTATTCTGTCAACTGCATTTTTCATCTGAGTTTATTCAGTGATAGCGCTAAGTTAATGAAATACACTGAAACTGTATTTCATGATATTTAATCAGTTTTTTTCTGTGGTTGATTTCACTTGGACAAGGTGCTGCTTTTTTCTCCCAAGTGAAGGGACCATTACTCTGGCAAGCATAAGTTTTTGTTACATCAGGGGTGGCAGAAAACATATTAAAGATTCAGGTTTTTCAATAGGGTATTTTTGTTAACTTATGTTAAGGGTGGCAGAAAACATGGTAAAGATTCAGGTTTGTAAATGCCCTGTTGACTTAGACACTAGCTAAACAGGCATTATAGTTTATTTCCATAGAAGAGATGGTACCTGTTACAGTTCTCATGTTATTTGATGGTAGTATTTTTCTTAGGTTTTGTACTGTGTTCTGTCATGAAATACTGTGTGTTTTAAGAGAATATAAGTAATAACCCTCATAAAGGGAAGTAAAGTAGAATGCAACTAAAACGTTGTGATGAACGTAGTTTATTGCTTGAAATGCGATTGGTACAATGACAACAAATACGATCAACATCCGAAAATTGTGCTGATACAGAAACACAGATCCTTAGATGGTATAAACTTTCAGCTTTGCATTGGAGTCAGTGAAAGAAATGTGTTTTTACTATAAACCTGATTTATATGTATACAGTATCTGGCTTAGTTAAATTAGCCTCATGAGTAGAAATGGCGTCCTAAAAGTGGTAACTTTTTTTTTTCCCCTCCCTTAAGGGACCCACAGGCGCTGAATTATTTTCTACATGGACCTAGTAGTAAATCTGTAAGTAGCATTCCTTTGTATTAGATATACATAAGCTTCATTGAGTGTATTGTTTCTAAACATAATTTTTGTCTTTTACCAGAGCAATGAAGACTTGACTAATGCAGAATATTCTGTAGCCAACTCAAATTCAATTTTTGCCAACTCCAATGTAAGTGGTCAGGAGATAAATTATATTTGTATTGAGATAGCATGCTTCTGTTGTGCCTTTGCTTGCATTTTATAAAACTGAATGAAGTAGATGTGGGTTTTGATCTTTTTCATATGAAAATTCTGAATGCTAACATAGAACCACCTCATGCTGTTAATATTTTAAGTATTTACTTGGGTTTTCAGTGGGGAATTAATTGAAAGATACTGCACTGTTGGGCTATGTTTTGTAAATATGTAAAAAAGCTCACTGAGCAGTGAAAATACTCTCCCATGTAACACTCTCCAGTAAACTGGATTTGTAATTTTAGTGATTGTAGATGTAGTAGTGCTCAAATGTAGACCTTACAAGTTAGTCATTCATACGTTTTCTGTGTATGTTAGGATGGTTTTATTTCTTTCTTCTAAGTAGAATCTGAGCTAGCAATTTTTTTAAACTAATGAATGGGTTTTTTTTTTTTGTTCTTTAGACTGAATAGCTAGCTTGGGGTGTTTCCTTCCTGTAACTTCAGTGTTAGGGAGGTCACTTTAAATTCATTAGATGTTGCAAGTAGTCTTCAGTATTCTTTTTTTGCCAGGAGTGTATTGCAGCCCTGGATCAAGTTTTACCCAGTGAGGTTGTGGGAGTGTCCCCATCCTTGGAGATAAAGCCAAGGCTGATTGGCTGTAGTGCTGGCAATAGTCCTGCTTTGAGTAGAAGGTTGGACTAGATGACTTCCAGAGATCCCTTCTGACCTATGTTTCTTTGATTTCATTGGTGTGTTTTTAAAAAAACCTGAATTCTGATTCTGAAAAAACTGAATTCTGAATTCATGTCATAATTCAGTTATTTGAATACATAGAGTAGGTTTTCCTTGGCTGTATTTTCTGTTTTACTGTTATCTTAACTCTGTCTGTTTGTCTGGTGTTCCTCACAGGTATGTGGATATATTTATAGGTATCAAGGGACCTTAAATAATTGACATAAATAAATCCTGAAAACTGCTTATCTGTGTGTAGAGACCTAGTGACTTTTCTCTAGGCACAGTAGTGTGATGTGAAGTATTTGCCTTGTCCTTCCTCTTTCAATATCATCATTAAATATTGTAGAAGAAACATACGTTGAATGACAGTTCTTTCTCCAGATAAGCTGATTGAGAAGAATGGTGGGAGAGTAGGGTACCAACAGGAATAGGGTGTGCCCAGTTTTCAGCTAAGCAGGAGCACTGGTTTCAACTTGGTACCAGGCTAGCCATTATCAGGCAGCAGCTTCCTGTATGCAGCATGGCAGAGGTGGGTTTTGAGGACTTATCCTAAGAAGAATGAGGTTATAGGGGGGGAAAAAGAGGGTGACATGTGACATGCATTTGTCATAGCATAGGCTTCCTAGTTGTTCTTTGTAGAGATTCTTGTGATAAGCATGAGTAGGTGGGCAGGAGTCCCTTGATGTAGTTGCATAGGGAGTAGCAGTTGGAAGAAACAAAAATATTTGGTGAAAGACAAAAGAGCGTTCTGATATGAGATTAGGGTGGGTAGGTAATCTAGAAGGCAGGTGATCAGAGGAGCTGGGATTTCTAGTGTGTGTTCCTAGGATGACTTACTGTGTTTTCATTCTCCAGCACTTATTCCTCTCATGCTCTCTTCTCATGCTTACATATCTTCATAACGAATACCAATGCCATCTTCTCTTCCCTCCCTCCCTTGCATGAGAGCCCTGTGCTGACCTAAGTGAAGAATTACTTGGTTGCAAAAATAGATTCTTACAGTGCATTGTGAAGGAACAAGGGATATCTAAAATACAAATGTAAATAGATGGTTTGACGGTCCCAGTTTATGATGTAACATACCTGAAAAGTTAAAGGCTTCTGAGATCTTTTGTCATTAAAGTTTTTGCAGATACTGAAAGTTCTATCTTTGTATGTATTCAGAATTGCTACCATGAAGTAGGATTGACTGTCTTGATGCCTGTCTCATGCCTTTCAGTGGCAGAGTTTACAAATTCAGTGTCAGGGGTTCAGTGCCTCAGCTGGTAAGCATGCTCAGCCAACACCTGACACAAACAAGATTAAATTCCTGCTGACTGAAGGACAAGAAAGTAGTGTCCACTCTCCCCTCCATCCCCCCACCCTAAGTTGAATGATTGCTTACCACCTCCACCGATTCCAGGTTGGTTTCCTTTGGCAGTTGTCAGTCTCGGTTACAACCCTCATGAGAGGGTTCCTTAGCAGTTGCTCTATTACATGGGTTGTACTCGGTGACTGCTTCCACCTTCCTGTTATAGTATAGTAGAAAAGCTTAAGAGAGCACAATATTCATGGAGCCAGTGAGAATAAGACTCTTGTTGGTAAGCAGATTCATGAAGTCACAGAGACACTAATTTCTTGTTGAAATTAGTATGATGTTCTACATGGCTGTTCTGAATCTGGGCAGCTGTGATTCAGATGTTGACTTGGGAAGGTCCCTGGTTCCAGTTTATGCACATAAAATTGGTTTTGGATGTTAAACAGTCCTGGGAGCAGGGAATGAAACTTGGGATTCTTCATTCCAGTGGGAGAGTTTCAAGCTATTAATCTTGATTGCATGTAATATTATTTATTATTGCTATTGCTAGTAGTAGTAATAGTTGTATTATTAGTTCTAACTGGAATAGCATTAGCTGGAGCCCTATAACTTAAACAGTCATGAAAGATTTCAGATTGGTCATTGTCACTGGAGATAAGTTACAGACGCAATAGGGAATTCTCCACAAGAACTTGACTGCTATGAGTCCTAATAATGCTCTAGTTAGTGACTCCTTTTTGCTCTGCCTGATGGTAGCTAGGTACAGTTGAGAACCTGATTTGTAATTTTAGGTGTTCATGAGGTGCAGACTGACACATTTAAGTACTGGTTTAATTCCTTCTATTAACATAAATGTAAAAAAGTTTACTGTAACTTTATAATTGTGTTTTGAAAATATTTTATTGAATTTTAAGAACAATCTCTTAATATTTTAAAACATGACCGAAGTTTCATAAAATACACTGGCTGATTCAGAAACAACAGATTGGGGTAAAATGCTAAATAAATATGTGGGGGGAACTGAAGGTAGAGTGAGGATGTTACTGCTTGTGATAATTGTGGCTTGCAGCATCTTCACACTGTTTATATGAGGTGAAAACAAGCATCTATGACCTTCAAGGAGTGAAGGCTCAGAGTATGAATGCAACTGATAATTTCATATCCACATTTTGCATTTATCCTGACCTGAAAAGAAACTGGATGTTGTCTTTGAATAGTTGAGATGCAATTTTGCAATTTAGAAAGGTGTACTCTGTCTAACTTAAAACTATTGCAAGTATTACTATGCATTTAAATTTGTCATGCTGTCTGTAGAAACCTGATACTTGTGTTGCCTAGAGTTTCTGGACATAATTTTGTTTTAAGAAAATCTTATTGACAGTAGACCAGAGTGAAGTAGGCTCTGATTTTCCTTATCACACTGTTTATGGATGTAGATTTGAAGGATTTTTTCATTCAAGGTGCCACGTAATATTTGCTGTAGTTTCAGTGTTTATAGTTGTCCATAATCTTTTTACTAGCATAAACCACAAGTCTTGTAGCATTGTTTCTCTTACTTCTTTGTTTCTAAAATTTGTTGAAACAAAGAATTAGTATCATTCCTTAACTTTATCAAATGGTCACTAGTGTCCACTGTGTGACTATGGGAATACTGATAGAATTTTGGAGATGGATCTCATTTGATAGAGGAGGTCAGTGAAAGCGCAGCTTTCTCCTGCCCTTTCCCTGCTACTACTGTTGCTACTGAAACCTTGCCCCAAATTGAGTTACAGTGGAGGTCTTTTCACTCCTCCTTTCTTTCATCCATTTGTCCATACAGTGCTCAGCTTGTACTCGGTGACTGCTTCCACCTTCCTGTTATATTATAGTAGAAAAGCTTAAGAGAGGAAAAATGGTACTTCAATAGCATGTCACATCCTCTTGAAACAGTGCAGCTGCAGAGCTGAGTGCTGTGGCATTGGGAGATTTGAGAAGTGAGAATGGTGTCTCCAGCAGTCTGTTATGAGGGCATGAGTGGGATGTAAGTGGCACATGTTTATCCTGGCCCACTGTATGGGATGAATGTCACCTTATATACATACTATGCAAAGAATATAATTTTGTAAAGAAAATTTGGTTGCATGAAAAAAGCTTAATGGGGAAACAGGGTAGAGCTCTGGATTTCTGAAGATGATTGATTACTTGTTTTGCATTTCAGAACACTGATCCTAAGTCGTCTGTAAAAGGTGTAAGCGGTCAGCTTGGAGAGGGGCCTAGTGATGGACTGCAGCTGTCGAGTAGCCTTCAGTTTCTTGAAGATGAACTTGTATCTTCTCCTTTACCTGATCTTACTGAGGATCAGCCCTTTGATATTCTTCAGAAGTCCTTGCAGGAGGCCAATATTACTGAACAGACTTTGGCAGAAGAGGCATATTTGGATGCCAGTGTAGGTTCTAGCCAACAGTTTGCACAAGCTCAGCTTCATCCTTCTTCATCAGCATCCTTTACTCAGGCTTCTAATGTTTCTAATTACTCAGGTCAGACGTTGCAACCTATAGGAGTTACTCAAGTGGTACAGCAACCTGTTGGAGCATCTTTTGCAAGCAATACAGTTGGTGTGCAACATGGCTTTATGCAACATGTCGGAATTAGTGTTCCCAGCCAGCATTTGTCTAATAGCAGCCAGATTAGTGGTTCTGGGCAGATACAGCTAATTGGTTCATTTAGTAATCAACCTTCCATGATGACCATTAATAACCTTGATGGATCTCAGATAATACTGAAAGGCAATGGTCAACAAACACCTGCAAACATGAGTAGTGGCCTCTTGGTTCATAGACAAACTCCAAATGGTAACTCACTGTTTGGTAACTCAAATTCAAGTCCAGTAGCACAACCTGTAACCGTTCCATTTAACAGCACAAATTTTCAGACGTCATTGCCTGTCCATAATATCATCATTCAGAGGGGTTTGGCACCAAACTCCAACAAAGTTCCCATTAATATCCAACCAAAGCCTATCCAGATGGGTCAGCAGACTGCTTACAATGTGAATAACTTGGGAATACAGCAACATCATGTACAGCAAGGGATTCCGTTTGCTTCTGCAAACTCACCTCAGAGTTCAGTAGTTGGTCCTCATATGTCAGTTAATATTGTTAATCAACAAAATACAAGAAAATCAGTTACACCTCAGACAGTCAGCAATGCTGGAGGTAGTATTGTTATACATTCTCCTATGGGACAGCCTCACGCACCTCAAAACCAGTTTCTCATACCTACAAGTTTGTCTGTTAATTCTAATTCAGTTCATCATGTCCAGGCCATAAATGGACAACTTCTTCAGACTCAGCCTTCCCAGCTGGTTCCTAGCCAAGTGTCTGCTGAGCATGTAATGCTCAACAGGAACTCTACAAACATGCTAAGACCCAACCAGTCGTATTCAGGACAGATGCTGAATAATCAGAACACAGCTGTTCAGCTTGTTTCTGGCCAGACATTCACAGCTCCTGGAAACCAAGTTATAGTAAATCATGGAACTTCACAGATTGTTGGTGGACAGGTGCCACTGCAGCAGGCGTCACCAACGGTGTTGCATTTGTCACCCAGTCAAGGTAACGTTTCTCAAGGTAGATCGAGTTTTACCACGATGTCACCTGGGCAGTCTACAGTCTCAAATATGTCAACTTCTAATCGATTTGCTGTTGCAAGTTCTTCTGGTTCAGTACATCCTAGTTTGGGACCATCAATTCAGTCTGTCGCATCAGGAGGAAACTTTACTGGAGATCAGCTCACACAGAACAGAACTCAAGTTCCCGTCAGTGCATCGCATCGTCTTCCAGCATCCTCTTCCAAATCTGCCAGCACCTTTAGTCACACGTCAGTTGGAGTAACACAACAACAGCTTGCTTTTGGTCAGGTATGAAAGCTGCTTGAGAATATAGCCAAAGAAGTGCTTCTAAGCTCTGCCAAAATCTGGTTAACAAAGTATTAAAGTTGGCGCTAGTACAGAGAACATTAATTTTGCTAGTTTGTATTGTTACAAGTACTGTGGAACTATTGAAAATTACCGTAACCCAGAGACGTTTCACTCAGTATTTTCTGAAGTCTATCACTGAGTGAATGAGTCTGTCATTTTCATTAATTCAGAAGATTTTATTGGTGATTTATAGTAGTATTTTCAGAACTGCTTAGCAGTGATCTATTTCTGCTCTCATTTAAAGGAACGGACATTGTAAGATTATACAACTATGAGCTCTCCTGAAAAATCTTGCCATAGAGCTAGATATAATGACTTGGATACATTCTTAGCACTCACAAGTCTTTTGACCTCACTGAAAACTATGCATGTGTTTTCAAGGTTCGACCTATTCAAATTAGTGATGAAAAGTGTTTTTGGGTTTCTCTTTTATTTACCATGCTGGCATTTTGCCCACTGTAGTTCTGTGTGTCTGGAGCAGTTAGAAGCTTTCAAATTTGAAACAGACAAAGCAAGAGGTGTTTCTTAGAATCCTTAAAAGGAAATACCTTTTAAAACTGTAAAAGCATAACATTTAAAAAATATTTTCTCTAAGAAGTTGTCTACTTAGTAATAATTAAAAAATATTTCTGAATTTACTTTTAAGGTGAGAACTGGTCTGGTTTTGTCCAGTCAATGCAGCTGCAGTATATATTCAGCTCAAGTTTGTCTCTTTTCATAAGTGAACTTCCAAACTCTACCAATATTTAACTCTAGTGACTTGTCACACAATTAGCAACAGGCTATTATTCCACTTCCCCACTTTTTTTGCTTTTCATTTTTTCCTTGATCATTATAAAATACTGATGATAACTGTCTCAGAATGTATTTGCACTAATTACCTTGCGTATTTCTCTTCTCCCAAAGGTCTAATGGATTTTTTAACCAAGACCAAAATGGGTGACGAAATAATGTGTCTTAGAAAATAATGTGTATTCAGAAAATAAGGGTGAACATGTTGTAGAACCACAGTTTTAGTCTTTGCCAGAACTGCTGGCACAGGTTGTAACAGTTTGCAGATGAGTATTTTGAGGCTTGCCTTTCTCTTCATGTGTCTACATCTTCCTATTTGTAGGATACATGCTGGGTCAGTGAGTTTCAGCAGTTATAAAAGTGTGATATTTCTAATTGCTGTAAAAGATAATTTTGATTTTGTGCTGAAATTTCAGAGCTGAAAATGGGAACTACAAAGAACAAATTCTACTGTTTACCAGAATCTTTTTAGTTTGTACTTGCATTTTCAGTATTGTACTGTACCATAAACCATGTGTCATTCAGTTACTAAACACTGGACAGTTTGTTCCACTATGTATATTTTTTTGTTGTGGAGACAGCTTATTTAGTCATCCTGCAGTTTTGAGACTCTCAAAAGCTGAGCTTTCTGGGGGCCACTTGTAGTGGTAAATCATGGGTCTTCTGGAATGTAACTGGTGTGTATTTGTACTGTTAGTGTAATTTCTATTCCTCTTTGATTTACTTTATAAAATTCTTGAACTTAGGAGGAATTGAGATGTCTAAAATTTCACCACTTAAGAGTTTGAGGTTGAAAAAGGATGCATAGAGCTAAATTTTAGTTCCCTTCTTGGCTTTTTCCCTCTGTTAAAGCTTTCAGTAAATATTTTACTGTGTGGTTTTGTTTTTTTTTTAATGTATGTGGCACAGAAAAAAGCTATGAACCAGACATCACCAGTTTCTGCATCGAAGACACAGGATAATTTGAGACAACCTCAACTAACAAGTCTTCTGAGCAACACACTATCAGGTCAACTAAGGTCTTTTTAAAATAATTTTCTTAATTTTCTCCAGCAACAGAAATCAGTGGTTCTTCAATGTGTCAGACTTGCATTGATGGTTCATGCTGATAGGGTCCTAAATGTTACCAGAATTTCATTTTTAGGAGAGTGCAAACTAAATTTTTCAGTATTGAACGTGTGCTTTTGTTTTTCCCAAGTATGGCACTTCATTTTGCAGAGTGAAAAGTTAAATCTCCACAATAAGCAATTATTTCTCCCCTCTATAAAATCCAAAATTCTACCTTCTTAAATTTTTCTTATTTTTTTCTCAGCTTAGGAAAATAGAAATAAGTAATTTTGAAAATACAGGCATCTGCTAAAATTCTATGAAACCTAGACCCTCTCTTGTGATGGCTGCTTCAGATACAGAAGAAAGAAAAAAATAGTGATTACAAGGTTATGTGCAGGCTGCCATTGCTCGATTTGTTTTTGAATGTATCACTTTCAGTTAGGATAGTGAATGCATGGTTCATGGCAAAATACTGGGCTTTTCAAGCAGCACCATCCTACTAAAAGAACAAAACCAATATATTCAAAGCAAACAGAAAAAAGCAATAACCTCCATGTTGTCTTTGTACATAAGTAAGCCTGTTGAATAAGGTGCCATAATCTACCTGCCTTTTTTTTTTCCCTTTGTGTACTGTTCCATGCAAGCTATCCAGGCAGTTCTCTACAAGCAGTACAGTATGGGTTTTTTTGGGGGGGTGGGGTGGGGGGTGAGGGGGCGGAATTCTTATTTGTGTTGGTTGTAATGTATCATGGCTGATAAGATGCTGTTTGAATTCCTGAGCAAGGCAATCTGGAGGAAACTTGCCCCCTCTAGAAAAATCTAGGGGGGCTAAGAAAAAGAAAAAAATAATGATGCGTACTGTCTGAATACTTTCAGGAGCTCTAGAAAAATTGAGTTTGTATGCTTGAGGGAGGGTAGTATTGAAAGCTTGATTAAATGTACTGTATGATTTTCAGTAACCTGTTGAGACATTAATGGTACTTGAATTTCTTCTTACGTTGCAGTACTATGGTAGGAGATGATTTTATATCTGAGGATTTTTGTAGTTTGCAGCACAAAATATTAGTCCTGTTTCATTTTTACCAACCAGTTTCTCCACAGAGTAGTTGCACTAATGCTTTTAAGCATATGAGACCTCTATCTTTCTCCTAAAAGCTAAAAACTCAAGTGAAATGATCAGAATCGGTACATGAAATGATTCTGTTCCTGCTTAGGATGACAGAGTGGTTTTAACATTTTTTATAGGACAGGACCCTGGAGGAAAAATTGTACAGCAGTCTGTGGGAACAGCACAGGTACAAGAAAAGGTAATAGGATCATCATCAGTTCAACAGAGTATACAGGTAGAGAATACTTTTATTTATGTTTCTCTTTCCTTTAAAATTTTAGTGAAGTTAGGGATGTTTCAACTCCATATTGATAATCTAGGAGACCTTGCAGGTTTGTTTTAGAGTATGTGAAGTCACTCAAGCTTGTCAAATTCTACCTTGACATAATAAACGTTGAGAGTTTTGCAAATTGGTATTCTGAATGCTGCTTTGGGATGTAATTCAGTAGGTGGAATCTGACTGTACCGTTCCCTGAAGATAATTTCATATGACATAGCAATTCTTTATTGCGTTGGACATAAGTTAGACCTACTCTTACCGTTACTTCTTACAAACTGAGCTATTCTCTAGCTGATTGGGAGGGGATGGTTTGTGAGAAGTAGCAGAAAAATTCCATCTAGTTTTTGTCCGTTTTATTCTTTATTGCATTTTCATCTTCCCCCCCCCCCCAAAAATAAAGTTCTCCTATATATGGCAACTATGTTTGGGGCTGGAAAGGGAGGCCAGCTTTTTTGGAGAGAGAATACAAGATCTTCTGGAGGGAGAAGACAATTGTTACATTCATAGACTGAGCAGCTGAGGGCAAGAAGTGAGGGTTTGAGATAGACTTGAAAGTGTAGGCTTCGTTGTGGATGGAACTAAACTACAAAATCGTGGAATAAAACAAGGGAGGATCTGATTTAGAATTTTTGTTTGTTGCTGTAAATGTATTTGTATGGTATGAGTGTTTTTCCCTGTCTTGCTGATGTACAAGTAGAGCAGAAGATATTCACAGTAGTGCTCAATTATGAGTACAGCCTGGTTTTGTAATTGTTGGTCAGATGTTGATTCTCCTGTGGTGGTGAATACTTTTTATGCTTTGAAGCTAGAGGCTTTTTGGCCAGCAAGTACTATTACAGTGTGCCTGCTTCATGCTGCTCCTACTTCGCTAAGAAGAATGCTCTGTACCACATGCTTTTTTGTTCCTTCTAACCATATTGTAGTTCAAAAGAACTTTCATGCAATCTTTTTTTTAAATCATAAGTAACTTTTGCTCTGTGACCAATTTTATTAGTAAGACTAGTTGACTAAAAAAACCCAAAAAACAAAGACTCTTTAATCCAGAATGGCTTTTTTTGGAGAATACTTGGATTGCATTAATGCCTCTCATACAGTAGGAACATGAATCTTTACCACCTCAGAGAGCCTCATATCTTAGGACACTGTTTTCTTGAAAACCTTGGCTTCATAAATGTCTAAGGAAAGGAGAAGATGATGTAGATCTACCTGATGGGTATATCTATAGCATCAACACTGAAACAGAATTCCTAGAACCACTTTCAACCACAGCCCCAGCCACCATGGCTTTTGAGAATTTAAGTGTGCAACCTTACCCTGCTTTCCTAACGGATACTGTAATCCATCAAAGTCAGGCAAGGTGATATCAGCTGAGAAATGCAGAGACAGTTCTTGAGAGCAGATTTCTTTGGAAGTTTTTAGTTGTACCTTTTCTTCTTTTCACCTGCTTAATTTAATAACCAACCGTTTTCCTAGTGAAGCATGTCTATACGCTACAGTAGAATTTGCCTACAAACAACGTTTCAGACCTTTGGTTTATGTAAGAGAAGTGACATTCCTATTTTATTGATGCAGTGCTGTGTGAAAATAGGAAATAGTTGAAAGTGTTTATACTTATGTGGTGATTACACTTGGTATTGGTGATATACTAAATTGGCAGAAATAAATACTGAAAATGAGGCTTTGCAAAGAAGGGGTTATATTGTAATTTGTCTTTTATTTTGAACTCAGGTGGATAGTCATTTAGTTGGACAGAAGAGGCCTGCTGCTAAACAGTTAACTAAAGGAGCTTTGTAAGTCATTCTTCTTTTGTAATTTTGTTGCATGTGTTCGTTCTAACCTTCATTTCTTTTTAGTTTTTGTCAATGTATAAACTTCTGTTAGAGTGTATGTTAATTATATATAATTAATTTTCCTTGTAGTATTCTGCAACAGTTACAGAAGGATCAGGTGAATGCTGTGACACCAGATAAAAGTCGGTTCAGATCATTAAATGATGCAGTTCAGAGACTCCTTTCATACCATGTGTGCCAGGGATCACTGCCAACAGAGGAAGACCTAAGAAAAGGTAATTTTATTTATAAAAATTGGCAATAAGTTTGTAATCGATATATTGAGAGATTTCTTTATACAAGTTAGAGCAATAAGAAAGGGAACATTTTAAATTTTTGTGGGTTACTGAAGAGCAGTATTTAAAAGTATGCTCTTGTCTTTCTAGTGGACAGTGAATTTGAATCTGTAGCTACACAGCTTCTGAAGAGGACACAGGCTATGCTGAACAAATACAGATGTTTGCTTATAGAAGATGCAATGGTAAGGTCTATAACCCAGGTACATTTTATGTTTATAGGATGTGATTCAGTTTATTAAAAAAAACACCAAACATCTACAAGAAGGTGAGAGCTAGCATTACAATTAATTTTGTTGATACTATTTATCACGTTACAAAGGTGATAAACATGTACATGAATGTTTTAGAGATATATATGTATGGCCAGTGTACCTTTTATTGCACTAGCAATCTCAGTGGCTAACCTGCATTTTTAAGTGTATGCACACATCTCAAAATCAGTGAAATGGGTTAAGTTTGTATTTCACAACTGCCTAAGTAATGGTACTGTTATATGTGATTTCCATATATGTTGAAGACACATGAACTTCTGCTCTCTGCTTACACTTTGCTCTTGCGCGGAACAGGCTGCGGTAGTCAGGTGATTTCTGTATATTTCTGTGGGTGTTAGAGCCTGAAAGAATGTTGAAAATCTCCATTCAGAGGCCTCCAGCCTTATTATAATTGGAGCCAAATGATAGTACAATTTAGGAAATCATTACTTCTCCTTAGAAGCTAGGTGGAGCCTCACATTTTCGTCAGAAATGCTTTTGATTTAAGTGCTTTCACAATCCCAGGCATGAGGTAAAAAGGAAACTGACAAAGTTAGTCTAAGAATGTATTTTTACAAGGATCAGGAAATCTCATTGTGGCTTCGAACATGTTAGTTTTCAAGCCTGGAAAAGTTTTGAACTTGAGTATAATAGACATTTAAATCACTCTGCTTTAGAGACAGGAAAACATAATCTGTTAGAACTAATATGGTTTTGGAATCTAGCAGTATCATTAAAAAAGATACTAACCATCAAATATCTGCAAGTAATTGCAGGTGCACAGGTGGGGATGGAGGTTAAAATCTGTTCTTTTAGCATCTGGTATGTTGTGTGGTCAATCCTATTCAGTCATTTTGAAGAGGTGATTTCACATAGTGTTCAGGTGTGGAACTAATTGCTTGTGTTGTGACATAGTAGCCAGTGAACTTTCTTCTGTGATGGATGGATTCACCTGGCTTGAACGCATTGTCAGCAAAATGCAACTCAGCACCAACTAGTTAGAACGATGGGAGAGAAGTGCAAGGAAGAAACAAGATGATAGGGTGGTCTCATTGCAAGATTTTTGCTGTTATTCTCTCTAAAAGAGAAAGGTACTGTATGATGTAAAAAATTGTGGTGTACAGTAGTAAACATACTCGGTTCTGAAAAGGTACAGTTCTTACAATTGGAGTAGTAATTCCCTGTTTTAAAATCTTTAACAAATGTACCTTAAAATGTGAGTAATAGCTTATGGTTGAGTTTAAGTAGTGACTGGAGTCACAGTCAAGATCGTTAAAGATGCTGTGGAACTGTGAACATTCTCCGCAAGTATCTAATGAAAGAAATTTTTTTCTCTGAAGAACAACTAAGCTATAAATGTTTTGATTTGGTACTGACCTATGAGTGACTAAAGAGATGGTTGATTTTTTTCCTTTTCCTGCAGCGGATAAATCCCTCTGCAGAAATGGTTATGATTGATAGGATGTTTAACCAGGAAGAAAGGGCATCTCTGACCCGGGATAAGCGTCTTGCACTTGTGGATCCTGGTAAGTAATGGTTAACTTCTGAATCTTACGAAAGCAGTGTAAGTATGGAGTGTTTAAAAATAGTTGTGGCCACAGTGAGGCCCTGATTGCTAGGGATTCCAGTAATCAAAATACTAAATAAGCAGGTGCAAGTTAAGTTTTAATAACTCCCAAATTCAACAATCTAGAGACACTGTAAGGTTGAAGGCAGTTATTTGGGGAAAAAAATATATTTGGCTTGTTCAACAGAGAAATGTTTCTGAGTTTCTTTTGACAATAGTCATGGCTCCTGCTCAGTTCTAGTGTGGAAGAATCTGTGAGTTTGCAGGCAGAACACCACTGTATGAAGCATGAATACTGTTGTTCATCTTAATGAAGTGTTGCTTTTGGAATGTCATGACCACTTAAATGGCAGTATTTTTAACCAGACTGTTATTGAACATAGCAACTAGAAACACATTATTTGTGTAAGATAACAGTTACTATTTGTTTAAATGTTCTGTATGTTCTGCATATTTTAAAAGATATTCAGAGGATGTATTGAAGAAGGTATTAGTCTTCCAGATACCATATTTGCATGTTTAGAATGCTGGGAATTGCCCTTAGTCTGGTTTTACAGTGCATATACATGCATAGTATGCTGATTAATTTGATGATAACCTCCTACACTGGATGCAGCAGAACACTTAAGCATGTGTGTACATCTCTTAAAGACATGAATCTGTAGGCTGTGGATGTTACTTGAATTTTAATACTCAGAAACTATGTTGGAGTGTGTGTTATTTTGATGTATAGGTAATTAAAGTAAAATGTTGCTACTTAATTTTCAGATGGTTATCAGGCCGATTTTTGTTGTTCTGCCAAACAATTTGATAAAGCAGCTGAAGAAGCACAGTCCAGCAGAAGTGACCATCAGTCTAGCAAAACATTACCTTCTCGAAGTCAAACTACCAAAACCCAAGCCAGAGACCGACCAAAATCCAGCTCAGCAGAGTCCACAAATCACAGTAAACTTCCTCTAGTGCCTAACAACATTCTGACACCACAAGAAGGAATAACTTCTTCTAAAAAATCGGAGAACCTCACTAAAGCTTTAAAGTTTGAAAAAGCTAATTGTTCTTCTGAGAGCCAATACACGGCCCTTTCTGAAGAAAAGATGGCTGGGAAAGATCCTGCCAAGTCCACTGAGAATTCTTTGAATTCTGAAGACTTGTCAAAAACTGTGTCAAGAGGCAGTCATGGAACACACAATAAAATATCAAGGAACACAGTTCAATCTTTCTCAAAGGTCACATGTAATAATTCCCTCCAAGACAAAACTCTGAGGAGCTCTCCAAAGAATGAGGTTTTACATCCTGATAACAGGAAAGGCTCTGGTGAACCCCAGCAGGACTTACTGCTCAGTAAGAGTTTAGAAACTACATTTAAAAACATCTTGGAACTTAAAAAAGCTGGGAGACAGCCACAAAATGAGGCGACAAGTAGTGGCTCGGTTGAATTAGAATTTCCTAATTTTTCACCTATTGCTTCACAAGAAAACTGCCTGGAAAAATTTATTCCAGACCACAGTGAAGGTGTTGTAGAAACTGACTCAATTTTAGAAGCAGCTGTAAATAGTATCTTAGAGTGTTAATAGTTACAGTACCATGGACAAGTTATGTTTCTCTTAGCAGAAGCAAATGTGAATGACACCACAAGTACAGCCTGACATGCATTTAAGGTTAACCTTTCTAAACTAGATTCTGTTCTGTGTTTGAGAGCAATACTCATTGTGGTTACAGTGAGATATCCAAGTAAAGTTAATCCTTGTTAGAATGCAGTCTGTTAGGGCCTTACTATTTCAAGTGTTATTATGATAGTGCTTTTGATAATTGTGCAGTACTGCAACATAACAAGGTTGCAGGTCGTTAGGCCCTATGTAATATGGTAATATACTGACAATCACAGTCATTTGAAAGGATATATTTATTAAGAAAATGTTTTTAAAAAATGATGGAAGCAACAATTCTCCTCTACCCTTTTCTTCCACAAGTCATCAACTTTTTAATTTTTCTGGAAAACCCACTGTACCTCTATTCAGAAGTGATTATTTGCTTTGTTAATGAATCTGTGTTCTAGGATTCTTAAGTTGAGAGGATATTATCAGTGTGTTTACAAGGCTTCATAATTTAAACTTAAAGTGCTTTTCTATTGCTTTCTGAGCAGAAACTAGTACTTGATGATATATTTGTAGTGGGTAACTTTAGTCTGTGGGATGATATTATATGATCTTAGTCACAGTGGCATGATATGAAGTAATAAATGCTTGACTAAGGAAGGTAGAATGGAAGCCAGTAAATGGCAAAGTGTACAGGATGAGGCCATGATCGAGCCATGAATTTATATATATAATACATATATATGTTAACACTTGAGGAAAAGATTTTGCATTTTATAATTGGATGTAGTCAGCCTTGAGTCTTTCTGAAGTGGTATAAATGTTTTTTTTATTTGTTGTTTGTTTTTTTTAGACCAAGTGTCAAAAGCACTTTTATTTGAAAACTGTTATGATATTTGTAGCTTATATTTTAAGAGGACATTAGCCTTACTCTGAATAAATTTAAAGGCCAGTCTTTATTTTTTATTTTTTTATTTTTTTTTTGCTTTTTGCTCTCAGAGAATGTTAAATCATCCACTGTAGCAGTCATAATTATCAAGATATGTACAGACCAAAGTCGATCAACAATCCCATTGTTTAAACATATCGAAAAGTGTGTAATTATTAATTCATATTGTAGAGCCAAGTGAAACCATTGCATGGTTTGTATTTGGCTTACTGTCATGTTGTTAAGATAGAATCTTATTATTTTATTTATTTATTTTAATCTATGACATCTTTTTTTTTTCTGCCCATGCTGCTTTTTCCTAGTTTACTTTGGTCATGAGTGGTTTTGTGCACAGAAGTGCACTGACATTCATCACGTGCATGTAGTACATATGTCTGCTCAGGAGGATATAGCTTTTGTGGTCTAAGGTATGCTCATGTTCTCCCCCAGACCTTCTCTACAATTTCTTAGAAAAACTACCAGTCATTTTCCAGACTTGCTGATTATAATTTTCATCATACAGAGGCTCATTGTGACAAGCTGTGGTTGTCAGTCAGATTGCCTGGAAAGAAAACAAAAGGTTTTGCTGTCATGTGATTCAGTCCATCTGAATAGCGCAGAAGAAAGCAGAATTAGATCCTTGTGACAGTAAAAGATTACAGTGCAACTCAGTATTGAGCTGCAGTCCACTGTCTGACCACTAAAGGAAACCAAATCTAGAAAGCAATGTGAGAAAGATGAACTTAATTAAAATGCATTTCCTGTTCAATGTGAATGGAAGTACTGGTTTTGTATGTTACTAATTGCCATTTAAAAAATTGTGCCAATTTTAAAGTATGTGTTTGTAAAAACTCAACATTCCCAAGTATTGTATAAAATATTCAAGGTAAAAATTAGTATTGCCAGTTTTAAATTTTTAGTTAGGTGTCCATAGAATAGACTCTCAGGCAGTTAGTTGTTTTCTTATTGGCAAAACTGACAATACAGTCTTCACCTATTGCCTTCCTAGGTTTAATAAGACGCTCATGGCTGTGTATCCTGATTTATTTTATAATTTTGGAAATTTAATTGTCCTAAACTATCTAGGAAGGAAAACAGTAAGTTACACAGCTGTGTGTTTAACTAGTTGAATTTTTCTTTTATAGGCGAAAAAAAGTAAAGTTGCACATTCATTGATCCACCACTTTTTGTACCACCTCAAAATGGGTGTGGGATTTTCAGCCTCTCCACAGCAAATACATAATTGAAGTATCGGGCTATGTGTCTTCTATTGGATCTAATTTGGGGTTGGGGAAAATGGCATATGAAAAATGACAGAAAGTAATCGTGGTTGGTTTGGTCAGACGCATTTCTCTGAACTACTTAAGAGAGGAACCCATTCAACAGTCCTAGCAAGATTAATTTTAGATTGTTAATGTTCTGTGGTTCACTCCTTTGAATTCAATTCTAAAGGAATTCTGGTACGTGGTGAAGCAGTAAATGAAAGAATTGTATTTTTGTTGTGCTTAAAAAAAGTATGAATTTATTAATCATATGGGCTCAAGTCCAGCAAAGTATTATGAATGTGCATGATTTTAAACATGTTTTCATTATTTTGCTGGATCAGCATTGTGTTTTCAATGTTATTTAATACTGCCTAATATTAAAACAAATTTTGAACTGGCAATTAAGAAAACTATGTTCATTTTGAAGATTTTAGTATAATTTATCTGTTAGATTAGGGAGGCCTTACAGACTGACTTCACTTAAAGAGGATGTGTCACTTATTGTCAGTGTGGTATGGACTTTATTTGCTTAAATACCTTCATTTGTAAAGTATGTCTCACTTGAAATTGCTTTGTATACATTTTGTAAAAATATTTATAAAATGTTTTGTAAAAAAAAAAGTATAACAAATTGCAGTTTATTTTGTTATGTTGGATAAATACTGTTAAAAGACACAAGTCAGTAAATATATTGTTAATCCATGGATAGGAAATGTTTAGTTGGAGATTACAAATTGAAACAACCATTGCAATACAGCCAAAGATTTGGGAAAAAATGTCTATCTGTGATTGTCTTGATTTAACCAAGTTGAATATTTACATTTCCAAAAGAAGATTGTTCTCAGTTTTAAGTAATATGGTTGCAAAATATTCTTACTGCTGTGCTTCTTATAATGCAGCCCTGTTATAAAATATTTGATAGGCCAACTTTCCATACTCTTTATGAATCTTTCTGAACATACACTATTAGGATTTGGTTCATGTGGCATTATAACTAAATGTGGTATTCGTGATCTTCAAATAACAAGATTGCTGATGGTCGTACTCTCTTGTCATTAGAATCTTGCCATGGTGAGGTTGCTGAGACACGCTCTCCTTCTCCAGCATGGTTTCACAAGGTAAAGGCCCCATCTTCCTGAATCCTCAGGGAGATGGAAGAAAAGTGAGGGGTGTTTTTTCAGTCAACTGGCCACCTCATGCGTGCTGCGGGTTTCAGAGTTGTGCCAGTTAAATTTGGTTGTAGATACCTGTGTTGGCAGTATTTCCCATTCCTTCCTTTTGGCTGAGAGAAGATACTACAATTGCTGATGATATAATGCTTCTTCCTACTTTTAGAGGGGTGATGAACCTTTTCTTACTGTGATTGAATTTTTCAGAAAGTATGCTGACATTCGATCTAATAAAGCTCTTATGCTTGGAACTTCAACACTTTACTTTTGGAGGCTATGAAAATGAAGGATTGGTGAAGTGCACTGCCTCTCAACTTGGAGTAAGGCCTGCAGTGTTGAAAGGTAGAAATCTTTATGGTTAGTATTCTTATTTTGTCAATGAGACAAAATAAACGTGCCTTTTGAATGCTACCAACGTGGATTCAGACAGTAACAACATGAATAAAATCAGTTTTGTATTATTTTAATCTCTCTTTGGGTTAGAATGGCTAAGCATCTTGGATTTTTTTTTCCCACTTTATCATATCCCTGTAGAATTACCAGGCAAACTTTCTGGGTTGGGAATCATTTGATGTACACTTTACCATGCAGCTGTCTTCACTTTAAAGTATCTTCTCATTACAAGAACATGGTGTATTTTTTTAATTGCCTTTCAATAGCATTTTTATGGTGGGGTTTGTTATGTTTGTTCCAACATTCAGGGCAGAATTTATGAAGATTCGGGCATGCGTGTTAATGCATAGCTTATTTAAGAAAGTCAGAACACCTTTCATTTTGAGGATCCATGCAAAGAAAAAAAAAAGCCAGAATAAGCTTGATACAAGGAAGGATATGTAAGTAATTTTAAACCTTAGAGAAATTCCTCTGTTCTTCAGGAATTGTTTCTTTGTAAGCCTTTGAATTTTTCCTTTAGAATTGTAGACACTTTTTCTTGGAGTTTTCACAATGATGTGTTTGTCAGCTTCAAGAAATGCAAGAAATGGTCTTCATGACTTGAGGGTCAGCTGTCACTTTGGTTACAGAAAGTCATTACAGAAAATAAGCAAGTTCCAGTGAAGATCTGAACAGCAGCAGCTCTGGTGCACAGGTACAATACACTGTACACAGATTTCAGATTGCGGTAGTGGTGGGTATACTGAATTTAAGGCTCTTCTGTAGTACACTCTTTGCTTGGCCTCATATGCTTGCTTTGTTTAGGTGGGTGCCATTGTTTCTGCAGATTATTAGCCTTCTCGAATGTAGCGCTCAGTCTTCACTGCTGCTTTGGCACTGCAGGGTGTTTTTGAGGAATTTC